ATTAAAATGTGGTTCAAAACAACAAAAAACATACATCATCATCCCAAGGAATTATTGAAGCTTTTATATATTTTTATCTCTTCTAATGTAAAATACAGTGATAATTTATAAAAAAAAATTAATTTCTTTTTTTTATATCATAATATTTAACCCATTATCACATAAATAATGTACCACAAGATTACTGAAACCAAATTAATATATATGTGTATCTGAAGTAATGTAGTGCACAACAAGGGAGGGGTTTAACTCCTAGTATTATTCACCAATGTTTTTCCACAAAAGTAAATGAACATGACCACTGGCTGTGCCACAGACAATAAGAATGTTGCCAACCGTTCTTAACAGCTTACGGCCACAAGAATGCACCGAAACTGCACTGATAGGTACTGGCATATGGAACTGTCCCAGCTATAAAAGAAATGAAGTTAATTATTAAAAACCTCAAGTGGTTTCCTAGTTTACTTTTCATTTTGAAGTTTTCCCTGTGAAAGCAAATTTCTCATCAACAAGACAAAACTGTACGATTAGAACAACTCACTTGTGGTATTGCTATCAAAGGACAACATTTATCATGAAAACATATTCTTTAAAGTTGTATATTACAATATTTACATTAGTAGTTTATATTGGACTATTTAAATGAGCCCAAGTGTACATTATCTTTGTTAATTCCCAATGAGTCAGATATACTATATTTCTGAAAGTATTAGGATAGTACACACACAACTATTAATGGGCCAATTCTCACTGAATGCACACACAAGTCAGATGATTTATGGAGTTTTTAGGGCTATAATAAAAACAGGAGCAGTCCTAAATGACCAGTTGGGATCTAGATGCCATAAGAGAGAAGCTCACGGACCTACGAAAATAAATTGTTACTGGATACAGCATTTTTACTCATAACCAAATCCATTGTGGGTAATGTGCTGAAGAAATAAAGGACCAAGAGACACATTAATACTGGTCTGTTGTTTTGAAATGAATCTCTCCTTCATTCACACAATCTTTTAAATATATTGCAAAACTATAATCCACATCTGGTATTAAATCCATCATTCAAGACTTTAATGTGAGTACAAGAGGCATTCCTGGACACATAACGTGTGCAGGAACAGGTTGCATCCTATAATATCAGTTGGCTTGGTTGTGGTTAAGCACAAAGCTTTGCAATGGACTATCTTTGCTTTGTCCATGCAGGTACTGAAATCTGAATTTTAGCACTGTATGTCCATGGTCTTACTGTTAAGCCAACAGAGGCATCTTATAACACACTTTTCATAGTCATGAATATGAGGTGTTCACTCTTATGATGATTTTTAGTGTTTCAATGGGGTGAAGAACAATGGAAACCATTATGTGGAGCAATGAGTCTCAATAATCATGGTTTGCTCTGGATAGACTGATCTGAATGTGAAAGAAGTCTGGAGAGTAATTTGGATACGACTGTGTCATCCCAACTGCAAAGAATAATGGACCTGTTTTGGTTGGTTTGAATTTGACTGGTGGGAGCAATGGAATTCAATGAGGAAGGATCAAATATTTTTTTAGTATTATAATGCATAAAGTCCAACCACATGTCATTTTCAGCAAATTATTTGAGACAAATAATATCCAAAATGGTCGAATTGGTTTCAGATCAAGGTAAAAAAACAATATGTACTCATAGTTGGCAGCAAGTGTAAATAACACAGTCCTAGCTGTTAATCATCCAATTCCTAATCAAATAGGATACATAGAGAAAAATGACATCCCTTTCTCAAGGCATGCTGCCCAAATACGTTTTAATACTGTGAATAATAATCTAGTTACCTTCATCCCAAATATTTGTTTAAAACCAGATAAGAGTATCAAAGAAGGCAATTAGATGAATATAAACAAATGTTAATAATCCTAAAAAGAATATAAAATTTTTTAATGCACAACGATAAACACTACCATAGTCATAAAAAAATACAATTTACTATCTCACAATGTCTTCTTCAAAGTAAGAAAGATCTGATCAAATTTATCCTGTCAATTGCTGAGACGATCTTATCTTCAGGAAATTGTGAATGTTTGTTAATAATTGACTGGACCATTTCGGACTTTGATGAAAATTGTTTGTAGTTAATTTTATGGTTGTCTCCTTCTGAGAGCTCAAACTTATTTTTTATACCGCAAAGTTGGAGTCCAGGAAAACACAAAAACATTAAATTTTCTAAGAGTGGAGAGTTGACTCCTGGCACGGTGTACACTTTAGTCATGTCTTCTTCAAAGTAAGAAAGATCTCGAGGTTCAGGATCTATAGTAAAATAGTGAGCCCAACCTTCTAATTCGCGCCGATTCTTAGGGCAATGAGGTTCTAAAGTTTTGTGAACTCGTATTATTAAATTTCCTTCGCGAACAAATTTAAATGTGAGAAATGACATGCTATAAACCGGTGATTCTTCCTTGAAATCTAATGGGATAGCTTTGAACGATGGGAAGCCGTTGAAATCCACCAGATGTTTAGCGCCATCTGACGATAAGTTTCGAACAATTGTAATAATATGATTGTTTGGGAAACCGTATGCCGATGCAGCATGATATACGCCAAAACCCAAAGCTTGAAGCAAATATTTCACAAAGACATTGAGAATGTAACACGTTCCTCCTTGTTTAATCATCATGGCTTCTTTAATTTCAGTCCATGTTGGTATGTGACGATGTTCCGGTTTCAGTGAGAGTAAAGTTATATTTTGATAAGGAATTACTTCGTGGATGGTCTGGACCAGATGATCTAGGAAAACATGGCGATCTG